CAGATCCATGACCGAAATTGGACCGGCCCACTCACCGCAAGAAGAATCCAACTGGGACTCTTAGGGCGGTGTGAATCCCTAAAACCTATGAGGATTCAGAATGGTCCAGGGAATCTCATACCTATAAATAGGGTAGCTCATACCGTAATTCAGGTACGCAATCTATAAGCCAAACATATTACTTCCCAAAACTTTCTAGCATTCACGTTGACTAACTTAAGCATCGGAGTGTTTACCCTCGGGAGATCCCGAGGCTCTGTTTTGCAGGAAACCCTAACCGGAGTTCCACCGTTAAACCGGCGGCGCATATCCGTACATTGTCAGAGCCCTTTCAACAGCGTCGAGTTTCTTCGAGCTTCCAACCAATTAGAAGATGAAATTCGAGTCGGATGACGTTTACAATCTGGTTCAATATGGAACCAGCCTTAAAGCCGGAGAGGATAAGGCCAAATATCGGAGAGTAGTTCTCAAACACTATGCAAATCCGCTGGATAGATACATTTCTCTCTGGCCTGGTAACCCTCCTGACTACAGGTAATATATTTAGATCTATATCTATATGTATGCATCTTATACTATTTTATACACTTTTATTGTGTTGTATAGGATGTTTTTGCTGCAGGTTTCAACTTTTAAGTAATATAAATATTTCACCATAGATGATCACGATTACTTTCTTTGCCCCAAGTTTATGTATTGACTGAAGAGTAATGATCAGTATGTGAAAAATTTGTACTATTAATATAATCGATGAAATTACTTCTTATTATGATTAATGTGTCGATACTTGTGCCACAATCAATATCGCATTTTCTAACTCTATAATTTTTACTGGATATGTCATGACCTTCCTCGATTCAAATCGTACATCGGATCTTTTTCCGTTACTTTGTTTAGATTTATTTTTTTTTTTAGATTTTTTAAGTTCAACTTCTTTTAATCTTACTACCTCCATCCCAAAAAAAAAATCCACGTTGAGTTTTCAAATTTGTACTAAAAACAGTATAAAACTTAAAACTCAATGTAGACTATTTTTTTGGAAGTGAGGGAGTACTTTGTATCCTTCTTGTGCTTATTAACGATAAAGACTCACAGCCAGACTTGCAAATAGAGTCCCAGTCCAAGATAATATGAGTATGGGAAGAGATAAGGAGATTTGGAGGGGTGCACATACTCAGCCTCATTAATGTTTAACATGTTTTGTAACAAGTCGGTAAAAGACGATTTACTCTTGTAACTCTGAAAAACTCACCTCAACGCCAACAGAATAAGCAGCGATCCACAAAGTAAGGAGGCAGTACTCAGAGATTAAGGTTGTGGAGCTGTATGCATTAACTTGATTACTTGATCATCGAGTCTGTTTAGATCAAGCTTTTCAGTTGTTGTTGCATTAATCTTATTCCTTCATAAGGTCTGTTCATAGTCTATAAATACAGACCATCTATTGTATAATTAAGGATGGTTAATTTCAGTGAAAGAAGTATAATCCAGCTTTTATATCTTTAACTCTTCATCATCAAGCTCGCAATTTAGGGTTCTTCAATTCAATCTTTCTTAGACTTTTCGCTTGATATCAGAGCAGGTTCATCCTGCCTTTGACCTTGCCTCAAAAACCATGTCTTCCGCCAATACATCGATGTCTTTGAAAGTCGGAAATATTGTCACTCTCAAACTCAATCAAACAAATTACCTGTTATGGCAAGAACAAGTTCTTGCCTTAGCCAAAAGTCAAGAGGCCATTGATCACCTCACCAATCTTCCATTTGAAGATCCACAAAGTTCAGTTTCTGATAAGGAAAAAGTCTCCTCAGAATCAATTCAAAAATTCACTTCCTGGCAAAAGTCTAATAGACTTCTTCGCGGGTGGATCATCGGGACACTCGCAGAAGAATCATTAGGTCTTGTCATAGGTCAAGATACTGCTTATGGTGTCTGGAGTGCTCCCAAGGATGAGTATGCAAGGGACTCTCAAGAACGAGAATTCACACTTCGACAACAGTTGACGTATTTGCGCAAAGGTGAGATGAAGTCCATCGCTGATCATATACGGCTTTTCAAGGGGCTGTGTGACAGTCTGACCACCATTGGGAAGCCTATTCCAGAACAGGAGAAGGTCTTACTGCTTGCTTAATAGCCTTGGACCTCAATTTGAGACGTTCACCACAACGACGTTGAAGCCTCCGCGTCCAACATACAAGGAATTAATCTCGCAGCTACAAAATCTCGATCAGCGCAGGACGTGGTTCTCTACTCAGGCTGATTCTATTGCTTCTCCTCATGTCCCACACTTGGCTTTCTATAGCCAACACAAAAGGTCTGCCTACAATTTTAATTCAAAGAATACTTACTTTAACTCACAAGCTCACGGTTTTTCAGCACAGCAAAGTCGTCCAAATTCTCAGAACAATTCGCTGCAACACCTTCAACGGAATCAGCAGCATCGTCGACGCATGAAACCTGCTGAAAAAGAGCAGTACCGCGATACTGTGTATCAGGTTTGCGATCACCCCGGACATGTCGCAAAAATTTGTTGGTGGGTCCCCAAAAATTCGCAACAATCATCTTCCGCAGGAGATCTTCCGCAGGCTCTTGCAACTTTGACACTGGATAACTCTATGGTTGACAACGAGTGGTCTTCTGATTTAGCAGCAACTCATCACATGGCCGGAAATAAAGGTATGATGTCTAATATTTGTCAATATTCAGGTTCCGATTCAGTCATTGTTGGCGATGGATCAGCCATCCCGATTGCCGGCATCGGTGAATCAACAGTTAGACAAAATAATATTGTACTAGATTTACCAAATGTTTTGTTTGTTCCGAACTTAAAGAAAAATTTACTATCCGTTAGTCAATTAACTTCTCAAGCTCCTGTCATCTGTGAATTTTCTAATGTTGATTTTTGTATAAATAAAATGGAAAACAGGCCTTTTACTAATAAAAGGCCGAAAGAAAGCTGACTTTTTGAGAAATAGTCTCCCGATGATGTTCATATGAGGAGGAAGAAAAATAATATTATTTAACAGACTTTAGTAACTTAGTCCCTCAAGTAGGTTCATTTAGTTACTTAAGCCCATAAGTTTTTGAATAGTTTAAATTGAATCCTTTTATTATTTACTTTTTTTTTGTTAAACCAGATTACTTTATTTAAATTTGTTTACAATAATCTAAAGGAAATGTTTATTTAACCATTAATGCAAAGCAAGGAGGACATGAGAACCCGATTCTCACAACTTCCTTCCCTTTCTTTTTGTCCAAACTGTGCCTTGCTTTCCAGCTCAGTTTGAGGGGGAAAGTTAACAATAAAGACTCACAGCCAAGCTTGCAAATAGAGTCCAAGTCCTCAGTTTGAGGAGGAATATTAACAATAAAAGACTCACAGCCAGGCTTGCAAATAGAGTCCAAGTCCAAGATAATGAGTATGGGAAGAGATAAGGAGATTTGGAGTGATAAGGGTGCACATACTCAGCCTCATTAAGGTTTAACATGTTTTGTAAAAAGTCGGTAAAAGACGATTCACTCTTTTAACTCTGAAAAACTCTCCTCAACGCCAACAGAATAAGCAGCGATCCACAAAGTAAGGAGGCAGTACTCAGAGATTAAGGTTGTGGAGCTATATGCATTATCTTGATTACTTGATCATCGAGTCTGTTTAGATTAAGCTTTTCAGTTATTGTTGCATTAATCTTATTCCTTCATAAGGTCTGTTCATAGTCTGAATACAGAACATCTATTGTACAATTAAGGGTGGTGAATTTCAGTGAAAGAAGTATACTCCAGCTTTTATATCTTTAACTCTTTTCATCATCAAGCCCGCAATTTAGGGTTCTTCAATTCAGTCTTTCTTTGACTTTTCGCTGTGCTCCCTGTTAATTACATTTAAAACAATAAGAATAAACTGAGAAAAATAGCTTGAAGTACAAATAGCCATAGATATATCATCAACCATTTTTGAAAATAATTCGTGTAAAAATTAATATTTAAATTTATATTATTTGCATCAATTCTTCTTCGCCTTTTTAATTAGTTATTATTATTATTATTCTTATTTTATTATTATTATTATTATTATTATTATTATTATTATTATTATTATTATTATTATTATTATTTTGGAATGTAAAGGCTAAGAACAAGTGAAATTTGCCAATGTAAAAAAAAATTGGACGTACTGAATGTATAATATAAAATGATATCTCTACTTAATAACATAATATAAATACACAGAGTTAAATCTAATATCAGTCATATCTAAGGGTTTGTTTGTTTCATTTTTTTAATGTGTGTTTTTCAGTATTTTTTGTGTTGGATATATAAAAAGATATATTAGAAATATAAAAATATATACTGGGATAGGACAGTTACTAAAATTTTAATTTAAAAACACCATCAAGAAAAGGAAACAAATAAGCCTTAGTTTTGTATAACTGGGCAAAGCAAGTATGACATTTTTTTCCCCTTTTTCTTTTTCTTTTGTTGGGAAAAGAAAAATAAAAACCAAGCGCATGACATTTCTGACCATTCCAAATTAAAGAAGCCACACATCACTGTATATATCACCTCCATTAAAAAAATCTTAATTATTTCTTTTGAAAACCACTTGTACTTCATCCTTTTTTGGATCAAATATCTTTTGCTGAATTCTGAGACGTGCTCAGGTACATACAAAATGCACAGAATTTGAGCGACTGATGTATACAGTCTGTTTGATAATCGGTGTCGTTACTAAGCACGTCATTTTTGTTTTCGTTTCGTAAATTGGAGTCGGTAAGAATACAATGTTATAGAAAATATGTATTGAAAATATAAAGACGTTAATCTTCAACATGAATAAAGTGTCATTAGTTGCTTAATTGCTACACGAATGTCACTACAACATAGCTAGCTAAAATTGCACAGGCAAGAATAGTAGATTCTGTTTTAATTCAATAAGGTATATTGTTTTTGGGAGGGGGGGAATTCTTCTACATATTCCAAATGTGTTTTTTGGCTGGGAAAAAATGAGGGAATATGCAAAGGCAACACAGAAATTGGGAGTATCGCTCATGGGAATCATTACTGAAGGACTAGGTCTTGGCCCTGAATACAAATCCGATAAAATGGTCAAAGGAGTCCAAGCCATAATGGTCAACAGCTACCCGCCCAGCCCCGAGGCGGCGCAGCAAGATCTCGCGCTCGGACTTCCGCCACATTCCGACTATTCTTGTCTGACCACCGTACTCCAAGGCTCTCGCGGCCTACAAATTCAAGATCCCGGCGGGATTTGGAGGGATGTTGCGTATGTTGAGAGTGCTTTAGTAGTGAATATTGGCGATTCTGTAGAGGTTATGAGCAATGGGGTGTATATAAGCGTGGTTCACAGGGTGAAAATTTTGAGTAGTGATTTTACTAGAGTATCCATTGCTAGTCTTCATAGCTTTGCATTGGATGAGAAGGTGGAGGTTGTGGAAGAGCTCGTTAGTGAAAAACGTCCCAAGGGTTATAAAGAGAGCTGCTTTAATGATTTTCTCAACTTCATTCCTCGAAATGATATTTCTGAGGGCAAATACTTCATTGACACCCTCAGGCTAGCTCAAAGTTTCGTCATCCCAAAATAAGTAATAATAAGAAGAGCGTGTTTCTTGAACTATTTTAGTACAACAAACATGAGATTCTGATTTTGGGATGGACGTGTAGAAATTCGATCGACTTATGAGGCCATGTTGCATGCTTTGTTTAGGAAACCAATTAGGCTGGCTAGCTCCATAGCAACTTAAATAGTTAGGGGCTAGGTCGACTAGAATGTGTTAGTTTTTTCTTCTTTCTTTTTTTAAAATATCCTTTTTGTTATTTTCTTAACTTGAGAAGGTCTTTCTGTTTTGATGGAAATAAGATGTAATATTACTGCTTTTCTTTAATTAATAAAGTGTGTGGCTTAAGGAGATGAAAATTTTTCTTTTCTTATTTCTTGGTATATATCAAATAATAGATAAAGCTATATATACAGCATATAGTAAGACGATGATGAACCGGAGCATTACATTAGTTATATCATACTTCAACCATGAAATAAAACCACATAATCAAAGTGTAAGATTTGCTTATTTTATCTCCGACCATGCAACAAAAATACATTGGAACGAATTTTTTCTATTTTTTGGAGACAGATTCCGGAGAAATTTGCCTGATCGTCTGGATTGTCCGGATGTAATTTACTACGAGTGTCGGACAACTCCTGAATTTGGGATGTTAACCCTTTTCTTTTGAGGGAATGGATCTATATGTATCAAACTTGGGTAGTTTGTAAGTGAATGTTAATGTTTATTTCGATGATGTCTAAGATCAGATAAGGACAACATTGAATTTAGGGCTCAATTGTTTGCATGTTATATGATACTATTATTAATATTATTTTTTTATTTTTTATTTTACTTGTTTGCATGCATATTGATTTGTACTACATTCGAGAAAGTATTCAAATTAAAGCCAAACTAGTGTTTCTCATTTACACTGCCCAGTTTTTCAAATCGTGTCATATCAATGAAATTAAGCTACGCCATTTTATGTACAAGACTTATGTGCCTTAATGACCTCAAGACTATAAGCGATATAATACTTCCAAAAAGAAATCTTGTCCACTTTATTTATTATATATTATACTCTCTCTTTTCCCCAACAAAAAAAAAAAGAGGAAAAAATAAACACTTAATTGGAAGATAGCAATAATATTTGAAATGGTAACAAACTCCTTGCAATTGTAAGTAGACCACTTAAAAGAATACTTTGATACTCGCTCCGTCTCATAATTATTGTCCAGTTTTACTAAAATGAAAGATTTTATTTTTTGTCAAACTTAACTATATTTTACCTTAAACAACCGGATATACCCCTACATAAGTAATTGTTTAACCACTAAGATTTTATGGATAATATTTTTTACTAAGGACAAATGTATAACTTGATCTATAAAAAGTCAAATTGGACAATAATTTTGGGACAAAATTTTTTAGGCAAAGTGGACAATAATTATGGAACAGAGGGAGTATTTGTTAATTTTGAGATTTGAACCTAAACTTAAGCAAATTTTCTTTAATCTTCCAACTGTTTCATTTGATCCACTCACTACATAGTACTTCTATTAGATATTCATCACATTTGCTACAAAAGCAATACTTACACAGAACTATTTTAAGTTTATTCATTGGTCATGAACCACAATCCAAGTATCTAGAAGCCCTTTGCAGAAGCTACCTATAAATGAGGGAAATTAGAAATGGGTGAACTGGTGCGCGACGAAGTTTCTAATTAACTCGAATCGTATTCTTTTACCAGTCCGATAACCATCAAATACAAATTAAAGCAATAATAAGATTAAATTAAACTTAAACAAAATCTACATATAACTAAGGATCCCGATCATATGCCAGTTGACGTGTCTTTTGTCCATATATCCCTTACTGACTCAATGAAGTGGTTTTTTTTCCCTCTATTTTCAATGACCGGTTATGTGATTTAAAATTACTGCCTGCCTTTTATTTTTTCTTTTAGTCATCTCTTTGAGTTAAGTGGATTCATTTCCATTTGCCAGCAAATTTTCTTCTTGTTTCTATTGAATATAAAATTTTTGGAGCAAAATTTGACCATATCTTTGTACCTTCTTCCGATTTGATTTATCGACTCGGTTTGCATTTTTTGGTGCAATAAAGGCTAACCGAAGGAGTTCAATTTTAGAGGGGCTAAGCTTCCCCCCTCCCCCCTATTTCCTTTTACTTTAAAGACAATATATGCAATACCTATTATTCAGTTGATTTTCCTAATCATATTATAACTTGCATCTTTTGTTCATGTCTTAAAATATGCATGTAAACTTATAAAGTGTTTGTCATTATGGCCAATGTACTTTTAATTCTATGTTTGAAAGATAAATTGACAAATCTTTAAAAGGATCGAATACTATCTCATCCCGTGTGAAAGTATATTCTAAACACAACACTTAACATAAAGTGGAGTCTTTTTCTTTTACTCGAACATACCAACAAAATCAAAACTGAATTACATACTTAGACAATTAGTTTATCTATCCAATTATATAAATTATCAGGTAAATATTTACAATACTATATAAAAAAAAACTTCTCAGTTTTAAATTATCTTTTACTTAATTATGATAAAATCACGATGAGTCTCTACTTCCAAATGACGAGGGTCACGCATAAACTGTAAAATGATATCAATAAGTTAAATCATAAGTTGGGGTGGGAAAGTTGAGTGGGGTGATTAGGGGATTAGGATGAGGATGGTTATTACCAAGAGGTCGAGTGTTTGATTCTCGTTGGGACCATTCAATTTTTTTAAAAAAAAAATAAAATTTAAATCATGAGTCACCATGGGCCTAATGGCCTAATTGGGCCTAACTAACCCAACTCTTTGCCAATGCTCAAAACTCGAGGATTTATTTAGCCTAACTGTAACCCAATTGTTGTTACTAAGGCCATCTCCAACCCAATATTTTAAATTACAGTACAATATACTTTAAATTACAGTATCTACAGTGTTTTACAGTAAGTTTCCTCCAATCCACAACTCTATATTTGACTCAAAAAGGACTTCTTTTTATATTCTTATTTACCTTTTATTATTTTATCATAATTATTAATTTACTTATGCATTTCAAATTAATTATCATTAAAAATAATAAAAGTGTATAAATCAAGTATATAAATGGTTGATTGTGTAATTAAAGTTGTTTAATTTCTATTTTTTCAGTTATTGATACCAACAATGGTTTTGATTTGTATGTATTAACAAGGATGATGTAACATGTAATTAAATGATGATCTTGAGCCAAATAACTACTGTAATAAAATTATTCTACATCAGAATATTACTATCGATCCTGACAACGAGGTACAGTTTAGTGGCAAAACACCTCACCTGTTGACTAATAGGTAGGACGGGTTCGAGTCACGGCAGGGTAAGTGAGAAACCACTATTGATCCCTTTAAAAAAAAAAAAAAGACTACTATTGGTCCTAATTACAAGGATAACTTATATGCTGAAATAACGCAGAACCAAAACAAAATGCTAATAAGGAAAGAAAATAAAAGCCAAAGAAGGAAAACAAATGGAAAAATTGACGGAGAAAAAAAGAGAAGGACCCACATATTAAATAATTAGAGGATATTGGGGGTCGGCGGCCGCATGAATAGTGATAGAGTCCTTTTTAGAGTTACCGTACTCTTCAAATCCAGTACGCAGCACCAACACTGGATTTTCAGTACCTTTTAGAGTATGGGTTGGAGAGCTCCTCTACTGTAAAATACCGCAAAAAGTGGTTTCCCGTCTACCATTGGTGAGCTCCCTTTCTCTTATTCTTCTTATTTCCTTTCAATTTTCATGTATTCCTTTTATCCTGGAATAATTATTTGGTCTACATTCTATTGTTTGTATATATTGTATTAAGAATGAAAGTTCAAAATGATAATTGTTTGGGGATAAAAGAGATTTTGAAAATGGTCCTTTACAATTTATAAACACACTTTTAAAGAGACCCATTATTTGGTCTTAGTATTTCATTACATAAACACACCTTTTTATTATTCAATAGGACATTTTTCAAACAAATATCCTAATACACACATAATGAGACATATTTTAGGAAAAGTGACTCACCATAAAAGTGTTAACGTTCCTTGTGTGGCAGTTGGGCTGCAATGAATAAAATTGGGAAGAGGAAATCTTATGATATGGGCTAAAACAGTGGAAGAGAAATTTGGGGTTTGGACTTTTCCAATTCATGAAATTAATGGGCTACCATTTGGCTCAATCTTACTATCCTGTGCTCAAGTTTATAAGCAGGCCACTTGAAGTTAAAAAGAAAAACCTTCAAAATATGAAAAATGCTTGTTGATTCATTTTTTGTTTTGTTTTTGGTAAACAAAACGCACAGGCTTAAAACCTATGATTCATTAGATTAGCTAATACATATTCCAAGAGTACTACTTTCCTGGTGGAGCAGTAAGCTCATAAAAGACCGGGTAACATCAAAAGAATATAAGTCTCTACCTGATGTTTTCATAGTTAGGGCGTCGACATATAAATTATTTACCCTAAATATATATGAAAACTCTACAGATAAATTACTCCGTAACAATTCCTCCTTGTTGATCCTCCCTTCTCTTACGACATAGTTAGTATCTCATTCTCACTCGCCCGAATATTGTATGTCACTTCAAGCGTTCAACATCGAATATCAAAATATACATTCTCCAAAGCAATCCCATCTTTTAAAATGTAACGCCTTATGTCAAAAGCTCTCTATCTTGAACTTCTACTTCAAAGATAAAGCCATTTTTTCTTTAGTGCACATTTTTAGTGCACATTTTTTTCTTTTTATTCCATCATATACTTTAACTACCGACCTTTGATTTTTGGCCTTATGTACCCTCCATTTCCTTCGCCCAGCTTTTGAATCCACCAACCTACACCATTGTTACTGGCCTTGGATTACAAGAATTATTAAAAAAAAAAAAAAAAGGGATTGCTGAATGCACATTGAAATACCAAAAATGGCAAGACATAAACTAGTTACATGATTATAACCCACACAAATTTCTCAACCGTAGAGATTGTGGTTGGCAAATACCCACATGATTGTATATGCGGAGAAATTATTCAGTGCAGCTACTGTACCACGTAGGATTGTGCAGCCAGACACATTAATAGAGGTAAAGTAGTAATTTTGTGGGAGGGATAATTTCTACGAAAATTATACCACCAAAATAGGGGTACTAGTATTTACTACACTAAGAACCAACATACAACAGCTGTACCCAATAATTTTTCGTATATGCGGGAGTTCGAAACCGATAGTTTTATATGCGGTGGTCCGATACCGATATTATAGTGTGGTTGTACGTTTGACCCCCTTTTTTGGTGCTTGCCAAGTCCAATAGCGACAATTATTTATGTACCTGTTTCTCTAAGATAAAAATGGTGTGTTTAAATAATGTTAGTTTTAATTTCTAAAGAGACATGAAATATAATATAATGCAAAACTATTAAGTAGTCTTTTTGGGTGGTACTTTCACGGTTGACCCATGAGGGATCGAATCTAATACCCTTTCAAACACTACTTAAGTTAGAGCTAAACCAAAAATAAAAATGACTCGAAACTTTAGAGTTTAGAGCTGAATCATTACTAAAAACTTGTGTGTGTGTGTGTGTGTGTGTGGAGTATTTGAGAGAGTTATGACTTCGAGTTTTATGTGATAACTCTCCTCATCAAAGTCTCGTATGCTAGTATGTCATGGACGATGGGTGGCAAAAATAGACAAATCCTCAGCTTGGACCCTTCTAAAACAAGATTTCCAGCATTTTCTACCAAGCTACTAGTATTAGATAATTATATATTTCTTGTTTTTTTTTTGAAGAAATCTACTTGGTAGTATTAAATTTACTGCATATGTATGGTAGGCCATGAAGGTAAAGACATCTTAAGTGATCAAGCATATGACAACTAAAATCAAATTCCACCGCTTGCCTTCTCAATTTAATTAATAGTATGTGAAATTTACACGTGACACATTGATCAAGTGCCACCAGCAGACGCTTTAATCTCTATACCTGCAGATGGATGTCAGCCAGATAGCCACACAGAAATGGTGTATGCTCTAAACAATATTATTAGCGTGGGTTTGTTCCTTCTTCTTAGGGAAACCAAATTGTATGATGAGGAGTTTGTAGAGTACTAATACTTGCTCCGTTTCAAAATAATGATCTTATTTGAATTTTTATTTTCAGTATAGTATTTCAAACAATATAAAGTTTTAATGTTGAGATAGTGATCGATCCTGTAACATTAATTTGTGTGTCTAGCTAGTTTGTTTAACACCAAAATGACGTGATTAAGGACAAGGGAAACGTGTACTGCATTTCTAAAGAATTCATACACTAAAATGTGATAACGGATGACGTGACATTAACACGAAGATTCATCAATGCGATGTTAGTCTATCGAAATAAGAAATCTACTTATTTTTTAATTGGTAACAAGAATAGCTAGTGAGCTATATATTTCAATATATTGGATTACAAGATTATATTTTGAAAAAGCTTATATGATGTGGTATGTATAAGAAAAAAACATAAGGACATTTATCGTAGAAAGGTTCCAGAGGCTATCAAATTAAAGCAAATCTAAGAGATTGACTATTATTTGTAACGTTTTATTTTTTTTGCAGTTCGATGAATTAAGAAGTTCGATAGTCTAACATGTACGAAGAGTCTCATTAACTTGGGGCAAAAAAAATATATACATCAACAAGCTTTTTGCTTGCATAGTTCTTCTGAATTAACAAATGTGCCATGAAAACCATATGGCACTCTAGAGGGCAATATAACTAGTGCGACTTGCTTCATATTTGAGGCCTTAATTATCACTAATTCAGACTCTCCTCTTCCTTCATCTCTCACAAAACTCATAATGTATCCTTCATCTTCCTCCTCATCTTCTTTTCCGGGCACAAAATACGGTTCACCACCAAATCTTTGGTTTCCATACATAAATTTCGTCACATCTCCGGTGACCAAATCAACTTTTGCTATGCCGCTACATTTAGGCCATGGCTCAGCTATAGCCAAATATGCAAACCTTGTTTTCCGGCCAAGTTTCCTCTTGTTTACTTGTCCTGCCTCTAGGTTCAACCCGGATACAATGACCCGTCGGGTTGATTCGCCCGTTGACATATTCAATCGGATCTCTGTCAATTCGGTCCTGATTTGGTCGTCACGCTCGTTAAATATAGAATCCGCCGGAGTCATGCACGACCCGATTACCACAATTTCCTTTTCACCGTTTCCATTGTGATCCTCCCATGCATTCCACAAATGGAAGGAAAAACACTCCGGGACATCAACCCATCTCATGCTTGATTCGTCAACGGCATCTTTTGGCAAGACACCGAATCGGGAGACCTTATTCGGGTCATACACCAAGGGCGAACCACCCCGGAACATCTCGGATAACTTGAATACCACTTGATGATCCGGAATGATCACGTGATGTTCCGTGATGGCGAAGTCATGGATCATGGTTGGCTGCTTGAGTGTGATGGACACATCACGTGACATCTGGCCCGATTCCCCGAACTTGAAGAATTTCAGGTGCGGCTTCTTAACAACGTTGTAGCTCAGCGTGAAGAGCTCGCCGGTTGTGGGGTCCACTTTCGGGTGCGCGATCACCGGGTCATGAAGCTCGCCGCCGAAATCAAACCGCTCGACCGTCTCGAGATCGCCGTCGTCTGTGATGCGGACGGCATAGGGTAGGTCGTCCTCCGACATGGCTAGGAGCCGGCCGTGGAAGTAAACCAAGCCGGCGTTGGCCACGCCGGAGCCAAATGAGCCGTTCACCAAGCCGATAGCGGTTCGAGCCGCGAACAAGCCAAGCCGAGCCAGACCCAAGTGGCCATGCAATTCGCCTATTGGCTTGGGAAATACCGGTTTTCCCAACGCCGCTTCTTGGACCAACCGATTCGTCCGGGTGAAACGACAAGCGTAGCTGACGTCATTCCCCGGACGAAACGTGACGGCGTGAATCATCCCGTCTCCGTCGAACAGGTGGTGTCCGTTGATCGGAGGTAAAAGCGGGTTAGCACCGTTTCGGACGTAGACTCCGTTTAAGCAAGACGGGATTTCACCGACCACCTGGAGTCCATGCTGGACCGGACATTCTTCAACCGGGGCGAAATTCCCTTGGAGCTGAATAACCGGGTCAACATTCCGGTTTAGCTTCTGCTTCTTTTCGAACTCGTTTATAATTGAGCTCTCTACCACGTCCAATGCCTTAGCTGCTAATCTTTGAAATGGGTTTAATTTAGGGGGTTCAACTAATTGAGGCAAAATTGTAGGCGGCGGAGGAGATGACGGAAGAAGCGGCGGTGGCGGTGGCGGTGGCGGTGCCGGCTTTAGCTTCTTGGGAAGTGTTGTTGTTGTCTTGGATGGATTAATCATAATTTTGCATGTAAATGACGGCGATTTAGAGGCTACCGGCAAGAAAGCTGGTGTTGAAGAAGTAATGTATTGGTGAGCTTGCATGATGTCTTTTCTTTTTGTAAGAGGGATTGGTTTTGTGTAATTGTTCTGGGGAAAAATATGTTCTTTTTTGGATTTTGAGATTGAGAGAGAAAGTACAAGAATTACACTGTACAAAATTGAGAATTGGGGGGAATTACTAAAGAGTTTATATAGACGCAGAAAAAAAAATGCATGTGTCCAGATATCCTGAAATACCTCGTGGAGTTCACACACCTGTTAATTTGTCATATTTGCACATGACATAAAATTACTAGTCATCTTTTATTATAATTATTAGCATTTCTGAAGCAAGTCTATCTATTTATTTTACAAAGCATTTACGTAATTTTTATTAATTTGTCACAAAAATTTAAACTAAAAAATTTAAGTATTTCCTAACCAGATAGAATAGTAATTAGCGCAGACATTTGAAATCAATTTATTGCTATGAGGGGATACCTTACCATCTCTCCTCCTAATGTTATTAATACTTTATCTTCCCAAAATCTCATTTTTGGATTTCCACTTTTAGTACAATTTTTATCAAAAATAAAAATCCAAACTGAACAATAATTTTAAGACAGAAGGAGTATATTTTTTGTGTAGTTCAACAAATAAACTTCTTTTGTTCAAGAATAAGAATACTGGTTGTCGAGTTACGGCAAAAAAGACGAGCAAATTGGATATTCTTTAGGGCGAAGGAAAGTGGAGTATCATACTCCCTCCTGGATAATAATTTTGGGACAGAAAGTGTACAAAATTCGTGGTTATAATGTATCCCAACTGCCCTTCTCGTCCGAAGCCGAAGCCATATATATATATATATATATATATATATATATATATCATTGAGATTTCAGGAGAGGTTAGTAAGCGTAATCATCATCCATCAATCTTTTATATGCTCCGCAGATAATGTCTCGACATCAATCTTTTATATACTCTTGTTTTTTATGCTATATATTATTTTCGTTTCAAAATTATTGTCCACTTTGATTTTTACTTCTAGTTCAATTTACACTAAAGATGAAAATTTAAATTGGACAATAATTTCAGGACGTATGCATGGAGTATAACGCAAGTTTAAATATCTTCATTTCCATATAATTTTTCACTTAAAGTTTTATACAAGTACTGTTTGGGAATTGGTCATTTAGAGTTTAATTTATATGTTAACACAGTTTTGAGATTCAAACCAAAGCAGTACTCGTATTAAGATTATAAAGCTTCACGTTATTATCGAATACTTCATTCGATGCGTTCTTTTTCCGGTGACTAAATTTTTTCGAACATGGTTCATCAGTACTATTTTTTCCCCGTACGCATGTTAACTTCTTTGCAACAAATTTGATTCTAAATGACTAAGGGAAACACCCTTATGTAACGATGATGGTGTTCTCATTTTTATGAATTCACTCGTAACTGTTAGCCCTACCTAATGAGGTGCATGCATGCTACAAGTTAAGCTAACAGGTACCAGCTTGCTACTTAGTACCCAGACATCCACTTCCCCGTTCTCGGGGACAATCAAATCTTATGTTGTTATGTAAATCTTAACCATTCAATCCATGATTCTTCTCCCACTTAAAGCCAAACCCCCCCCCCCACCTCTTTTTTCAATTCCAATCTTGAAAAAAAGTATTAACTGATTCATTTTAACGAGGTAAGCGACTTCAAATCATAATGTTTTTTATTTTATATTTTTGAGAGAAAAATCAACCAATTGAAAAGGCGAAAAAAATCGTCTTGAAATTCGAAGTAATTCAGCCTAACAACCTTTTCATCTAAAAAATAATACGTACTTAAAAGAATTTTAAAGAAAAACACAAGGAAAAATACAATCGATCATCTCCTATTCAGCACGATCCAAATAATATTTCGTACGAAATGAATGACCTTTTTGTCAATGTCCTTGGAACAAACTTTTTTTTTTCTTTCTTTTAACTTTTAAGTGATGGAACAAACTTTCATGTTAGTTCCTTCTGAGGTTAATAAGCGCGACAATTTGGTCAAAGAATATGGGCCGTCACGTGGACAAGCGTTGGGCCTACGTGATCTTAGGCCATATAATTGGAAGACGTTTCTTGTTGTTCACGAGCGAATCACACATCGGTGGGCCCAACGATTCAGGGCTTTGTTAAGTTTATTCTTGATTTTAATCTAGGTGACACGTGGATAGAAAGATATTTTAGAGTACTACGTGTCAAAAGAATGGTCTGTATTTTGATTTTATGCTGATTTTTTTATAATGTTGAAAAAATACTTCTCGAATTAGAAATTTTCCCTGCAACGTGCAGCTTGCCTTTTATGTCTTTATAAGAAAACAAATATACGCCCTGGTGGGTACTGTGCAATTTAGTGAACTGAAGTGCCCGTGGTTTCTTTGTGGCCAAATAATGGAAGATTTGAAAACTATGGAAATTTGTATTGTTTTTATCCACGTCAAAAGTTTTAATCCACGTCATCATGGAGTTAATACAAGATTACTTTGACTTTAAGAGTAGAGAGAGTATTACAATTGGGTAAATTTGTATTATTCACAGAATTTTTAAATTTGTATTATTTTTTACGAATTTCAAAATTCAATATAAAATATTTTTTAGGACAGATAAGTACTTTGAATATTCCTTATGCCTCAACTGGAAATTTGGAATGACTTCTTTGTTTCCAGAAACAAATGCCTGATGATATTGCAAGAAAAAGTCACATTTCCAGCAAAAAGTGGGTCTCATACCAAATTTATTCCTAATCACCTAATAATAATAGTTCTGTGGGAAAACCGCAAAATTTTTTCTTTGCTCTCTACTTTCGTCTTTCACAGTCTAAAACACGCAACTCGCAACTCGCAATCCTCAAACCATGAGTTAGATTAAGAGAATAAACTGTCATGTAATGACAAACCAGTAATGGTAAAAATAGCGAATATAGGTAGCATAAAATGTCAGTAATTAGTGTAGTATTCCTTTACTTGTTTGTATCACTATTTTAATTTAAACGAATAGAAAATCGTTCCAGAGTAAAAGAGAGTGAAATATAAAGATGTCATATTATTGTTACGAGATCGAAATTCAAAATTCATTTTTCTATTTTCGTTTTTCCACAATAAACTTCCCACGACCCGGTGGACGCAGTTGCTTCATGGTCCTAATCAAATTCCTCTTCCGATGTGGTTTGAAATTCGTTTAGCGCCTTAGGGTTACCAACCAACCATGATGAGGAATTTCATAACCCATGCCCAGGCACGAAACTAAGGGGGGTCAGGAGGGTCGACCGACCCCCCAGATTCCGAAAATCCCTTTAAGGGAGGTATTCCGGTGAGGCACGGCATCTGTATTTTTCCACGGCTGACCCCCCGTCAAAATGTTTTGATGAAGAAGAAAGACAATCAGACTAGGGCTTTTGTTCTTAATGGGCTTCTTTTGTTTTTTTTTCTTTGTTTTTTTTTGTTTTAAAATAGCCTATTTTGGCTTCACCCAACACATTCTTTGGGCTTCGTGTATTCAAAAATAATCTTATCCTGTCAAGGATATGTTCTGGAGGAGCAGCACAAGACCCGTGTATTTAAATTGTATTATATGAATGTAATCATATAGAAATCATCCTTTCTAACTACGATGATAGTGTATTTATAAAATATAATCATAAATCATAAATATTGTTATGTTGTTTTAATTATGAATTAATAAAATCACAGTTGAGGATTATCGAAAATCAAATTTCAAACACTCTATCCTGTAACAAAAAATTATAATTGTGGCACCATATAAACTACTCATCTAAAATATGAGAATAAATTTAACATAATATTTGGATAGAGGGCTCTTTCAAAATAGAATCCAGAATGATTTGGGAGAAAAGTTTTGTACATGTTTATAAATGTGATCTCCACAAAATTATTTAAAGCAAATCACAAATTTTGAAAAGATAATCCACTTTATATTCTATGATTCTAATTTTTTATATGTATATATAAAAAAATGTTTAGTCATGTTATAATATCGACCCTCCAGTATCAAACCTCTGGTTCCGTCACTGCCCATGCTATGCCATGCACGGTCTTTTGACAGTTTAGCGATTTGTTTTTTTTCTTTAACATTTCTTCTTACTTTTAACCTGTGCAACAGACAATTTTATTTTATTTTTTTAAATAAAAAGGAAGAATAAAGGTCTCAGTAGACAATCCATTTTTTTTTGTCCCTTCAAAGGATGTTACATAAGGAGACAAGAATATTAGTCACTTTGTCCCAAAGAAAATAATTCGTATTGTAATTCTGTAATTTGTTTAAAAACGGTACATATTATAAATTATAATATTAATTATTCTACAGAATTCAAAATTGTAATTTCTGTAATTTGTTTAAAAACGTCATATTTCAGGAAATAGAAATTAAGATTGTTTTGTAGCAGAGACCTGATTTTAACTTTTACATACTAGACAGTTTCTCGACATCAATTTTAGAAAATAATGATTAAAAAATTGATAAATTAAAATGTAATTTTGTTACTAATTAGGGGAGTAAGAAGAAAACTTCGGATTGAAGCAATTTTCAATGATATTTTTTTTTTTTTGAAACCAGCACACCGTGCTATTTATATATATAATCAGAATAGCCATTCAAGTTACATCCAAGGTGAGGAGCACATTGCCTGCTAAGACATGTGCATCCTGGACCTGTGCACGAGGAACATGAAATACATGGACTACACAAAACTGGTCTATTCTCTGTCTAATATCATGGATTAAGAACTGAAGTTTAATGGGAATCTCAATCTGGTGCTGCAGTATTTTGGAGAGAACAAGACAATCTATGTGCAAAAGCAAACATTGGTGAACCACCGGGTTAACTGATAATAAAGCAAAAAGGCAGGCTCTCCCTGTAAGGGCGACATAGCAGCAAAGGAGCGACTTCCTTTTGAGAGAACCTTCCCAGATGGGAGTGACAGAGTCCATCCTCCTGCAGCTGCAAAATGAGCTGACCGGAAAGCACCATCAAATGGTGGACATGGAAATCGCAGAGCTGGCACTACATTTGTGACCGACGGTTGCTCGTATTGTCCTCCCGGATCAAAGGGAGTAGCACCGTTATTCCAGCAAAATCGTAAAGAGTCATTCATAGCCTGTAGAACTATCTGCAGGGGAGACGCTGGTAATTTTCCATCATAAATAAATGAGTTTCTATCTTTCCAAATAGCCCAGAGGAGAAACATGGAGAGGCGCCTTGATTCATCATCAGGGGCTTGAGTGATCCATTGAACAAACCACTGTGCAAAGGGCACCAGTGTTGCAGAAGAGAAATCAAAGCCTAGTGGG